CCACGTCTTATTAATTAGTAGAACTAATGGTATACATTTCTATGCAAAATTGAATATTCTGAATTGTGAGTACCCATGATTTATGAGTGGGCATCTAGTTTAAAGACTGTTCCAAAAACCAAGATGTGCCTTTCTAAAGCATATCGTAACAGCATGCTAAGATCCACACAAAGAAAAGCATCTAGCCATTTCAAAAGGGTCATAAGCCATGCTGGACACTATGCTCTCTGAGGATTCTTCTCACTCACCCTGGAAATCTGAAGAAGTTTGCTCCTTCCCCTGCTATTTTATTCTAGTACTTCTCAGAAACAATCATTCCACACATTTTCTAGTCCCTTCTAGAAACACACTTTGGGGTGGCTTCTATTTCCAAGTTAAGCAGAGAACTTATCAAAATATAAGGTGGAAACTACTTTGAGAAAATAGTTTTTAGACACAATTTCCCTTTGTCTAGTACCTCCACTACTCATTAAGAGAAAAGATGAAGACTGTAATAAAAAGATGCTATCAGTTATTCAAGCTAGTGAGAGTTTTTGGGTTTCTTCTTTTTTAGTATTTTTTTTCCAAGGGAAACAACACATTGTCTCACCAGGTTCTTTCATGGACTGTAAAAAGCATGACCCACCTTACTAAGATCTTTGGCAGTCACACTGTCGTCATCCCGGCAGGGCAAACGGTGGACAAATGCTAACATCTGGTACTTGGCTCTGATGAATTCTGCTTTATTGGGGCTGGTTTGAAAACAAAACAGAAAACAGTTCACTCGAAGTTCAGATACACATTTCCCATTATTTGCTCGTAAGAAGAGGAAGTGACCCACACCCGTCACAGGAGCCTAAGCTGGAGTAAGTTTCAGCAGTGTTCAAGACCTGAAGTCTGAAAAAACATCAGTGAGTACAGTGGCTGGGTCTACAGAAGACTCGCCTTTTACAGCAGCCTTCTTCCCTCTGTAATTTTCTTGACTGACCCTTGGAAAGAAGCAGCATTTAATTCCATATTATAGGTGAGGCATAAGGTAAAATGGAAGCAGAACCTAGATTCCTGGTCTGACTGCCTCTTGCTTCATTCAGTATCTCAGTGTAAATCTGATCACACCTAACTAACTCTCCAAGCACTGGTCTCCAATTGGGAAAATCATTAACTTATGTTGGATAACCAAAGGGATAGTCCCACCTGCCTCCTCAGGCTTTCTAACAGCAAGCTGCCCTAGGCACAGGTGCTGTCCTTTTGGAGGCAGATCAGAATGGTCACATTCTTTTCAACAGGGCCATTTGTCTCCAAGAAAGAGAAGTAGTTACAAACATTCCACTCACTGTACTTTATCCTGTGGGTTAGCTTTCCGTCTTCCACTCATAATAGAGGCAGGGTCCAGTAAAGAATGCTCCCATATAGAATTAGCGCCATTGTTATACAAAGTCTCAACCATCTGAAACCAAGAAGTATATTTTATTTCCACAAATATTCAAAGGGAATCAATGACCAAAACAGTGGTCTGTTATAAACAATAAAACACTATCATATTTGAGGCACCACTCCACTAGTGTTATTGTTTCTGATTGAAGAATTAGAAAGAACCCTACAGAGGATTTAGCTTTGAGCAGTAAGAAAGCTAAATCCCTAAATGGGCCTGATTGTGTTGTACTTTTATACTGGAGGAAAAGTAACTCTAATGCTTTGGGGCTGCATTTCCCATCCTGAACAAATGCTATCTACCCATGTGCTGTGCACACAACCCACTTAATATTTTTCATTAAATCCATCCTATTAAAAAAAAATCTTTGGCTGGGCGTGGTGGCATACACCTTTAATCCCAGCACTTGGGAGGCAGAGGCAGGCGGACCTTTTTGAGTTTGAGGTCAGCCTGGTCTACATAGTGACTTTCAGGACAGCTGGGGCTACAGGGAGACCCTGTCTCAAAAAAAAGAAAAAAAAAAAAAAAACCTTTGATAATTACAGTCTGATGTGATAGCTTTCTTATACACATTAAAATAATGGAATCATCAAAATTTGAGTACTGCCTCTCTCTCGAGTACCACTGGTGGCTTATGTCCTATCCTTCAGGGTCTGTTGCTTCAGGGTCAACCCTGGCATTTTAAATTACTCATCTCTGGCCTTAATTCAAATTCTATAATACAGTGTGGCTTTGCAAACACAGATAGGCCACACTTGCCCCTGCATGAGAGAATGGGCCATTGAGAACTTCTAAGTAGAACTTAAAATTATTATTAATTCTTTAAGAATTTCGTTCAATATATTTTGATCAAATTCACTCCTCCTACTCCTCTCCCTATAAACAGAACTTTACAAACATCCATCTCAATTTCATTTCATAGCAGGACCCCTAGAATGGCCCCATTTGTTCTTTGCATTCAGAGAGACACTGTCCTATCAGCAGTTCGAATTCACTTGCTGTGGTCCCTTGGTTCAAGCAAGCAACTTGAAGGACATGGTATGTAGCTTCCACAGATTTAGTGAAATGTGTATTAAGATAAACACAGCAAAACTCATGATTAATCCTGAGTTCCAAGGGAACCTGAAGAATATATGCCCCCAATACAAGTACAAGTAACCTGTTATCAGATCCCAAATAAGAGAAGCCCACTGAACAAGCATTGGGCATGCAATCAAAACACATTAAAATTTACTCCCTGCCTAACAGAGAGAGCTTTAAAAACAACTTCAAATGTGGCAGAGATTTCAGAGGACATGCAGGCTATGCTTCTATCAGAGCAGGAAAAAATGCTCTAAAAAAATGACCAAGTAGTCAGGAATTGCATTAATGAAAGGTTCTCAATAGTAGTGACCATCTAGAAAGCCAGCAGTGAAACATTACCAAGAGATCTGAATTACCTGCCTATATACAACTGAACTTTTGGACAAGATTATGTTAGGTGAGGGGGGAAAAAAAACCCCAGAATAATTCAGGATAATTCTTTTTTTTTTTTTGGTCTTTTTGAGACAAACTCTCTGTGTAACCCCCAGCTGGTCTGGAGCATGCTATGTAGGTCAGGCTGGCCCTGAACTCACAGAGATCCACCTGCTTCTGCCTGCTGAGTGCTGGGATTAAAGGCTTAGGCCACCATGTCTGGCTTCAGGATTATTCTTTATACTATACATAGAATTGATGGGCATAGCACTTCAGCCCATGATGAGCCAAACATTTTTGTAAGATTGAAGATCTATACTCAGAGATATTTCAGTGGCCAAAACAAGCCTTAAAACAAAAATTTGCAAGAAATCTCCTTTACCTGAAGCAGTGTTGGAGGCCACGGTGTGTGTTTAAGATGCCTTACTTGAGAAATGTGACGTCCCAGACTCCGATGAACACTGCAACACTCGTCACATATAAAAGTTCCCCTGTTTACAGATGCCCAGGAAGGATCTAGAAGAAGAATGGCACCTCAGTGGCAAGGATATGAAATGGCTGCCATATGAAGGATGGGGAAAGGTGACTGAGGTTTGGTTTTTAAGGGGAAAAAATTTTTTTTTATTGTGTTATATGCCCCTTAAAATATTGAGCCGGTGAAGCGGTCTGATGATCCTACAGAGACAGTGTTAACAGACTGGCAGCTTCAAACAAGCTGTTACCTTCTTTATCTTCTTTCCTGTTTAGGCTCCAGTCTATAGCCTGAATGACGGTCTGCCACCTTAGAGGCACATACTTTCATTCAATGACACAGAAGCAAAGTGAGAGTCCAGGCGAATCACTCCACTTTGCTTTCTTGTGGTGCTGGGGACTAGATCTGGGGCCTTGTACATGCTAGGCAAGTACTCTACCATTCTAGCCAGATGAATCATTTCAAATCCATCTTTACAAATAGCAAGACAACATAATTTTGAAAGTGAAGCATCCACATAACAGTATCTGAAGTAGATGGTGAAATGACTACTCCCCAACGTAAGCAATCAAGACCTATGTGCTAACAGAAAGCTCTAAGAACTATGGAAACATGAAGCTGCTATGGCTTGGAGGGCAGGGAAGTGTGGCCACGCCACTGGGCCATGCTGTCTGATACCCATCAGTTGTTTTAAACAGCCTACCCAGTCCAGTCTTGCAGCTGATCTGAAAGCTGCTGCTTCACAGAGGAAAAATCATAAAGTAAAAATGAGTAATATATTTGGTATGAGTATGATGTTTTTTCCCTTGAAATCCCACAAAACTTCACTGGACAACCTTTCATATATATAAAGACTAATTCACACTAGGTAAGTAGGGTGGATCTGGGCAAGGAAACTGAGCACTTAGAAACCCAAATAAACACAGGCCTTTTCCATTTCCTCAGACTCATAAGGGGGTGACAATAGGTGCCACTCCAGCTCTCTGGCCTAAGGGTATATTTTAAAATTCTTCAATGTCCACAAAAATCTCTAAAATGCATGTACATCATCTTCACCATTTTTAACAGTTTATTCAAATCCTTTCAAACCATATAATGAAAAGTTAGGGATTTCAATCAAAGACAAATTCTGGGAGCCAGAGAGCATAGTGGTTAAGAGGGTTGGCTCTGGAAACAAGCAGCCCACAGTTTGAACCCCAATGCTGCCACTTCTTGCACAATGAATGGAGGTCAGTTACATCTTTTGAGTGTCCTTACAGTGGGTCAAATGTGAACAGGAACAATAGAGAAGGAACAATATGAACAGTAAGAATAGAACCTCTCCGGCTAGAGAGATGACTCAGCCGGTAAGAATAAAAATAAATAATAAGCCGGGCGTGGTGGCACACACCTTTAATCCCAGCACTCGGGAGGCAGAGGCAGGTGGATCTCTCTCTGTGAGTTCAAGGCCAGCCTGGTCTACATAGTGAGTTCCAGGACAGCTGGGGCTACAGGGAGACCCTGTATATGCAAGCAATATACTCATACACATAAACTAAGATAAAATAAATAAATAAAATATTTAAAAAATAGGACCTCCAATCCAGTAAGTCTCAGTAATATTAAATGTTTCATAGTCTCTAAATTCTTTTCTGTTATTCTGATATTTTCTTTTCCTTTTTTTAAACCTTTAAAAAATTTTATTTATTATTTTTATTTTATGTGTACGTGTGTATTGCCTACATGTAGGTAAGTGCACCCGTGTCATGAAATGCATGTAGAGGTCAGAAGAGGCTGTCGGGTCCCCTGGGACTGGAGTTATAGACAGTTGTTAGCTGCCATGTGGGTGCTGGGATTCGAACCCGGGTCTTCTGCAAGACCAGCCAGTGTTCTTAACTGCCAAGCCATCTCTTCAGCCCCTTATTCTAATATTTTCAAGAGCTCACCAAACTTATGACTCTGGAAAGAGTTTCTGATTGGAAATAATTAAAACATCAAAGTTTGTACTGGAAAGCTCAGTGGAGATTTTACGTATCTGAACTTAAGCATGATGCATTTAAAATGTTAGATTCATTAAAACAACCAACCAACCAACCAACCAACCAACCAACCAACCAACCAATCACTACAAAATCAAGGCTGGGGATACAGCATAAGGGTGGAATGCTTACCTAACCAATTGTGAGGACCTGGGTTTTATCCCCAGCACCACAGCAGTTAACAAGACATGATCATAGTGAAGTGTCTGCCGTAAATGAAAAGAGAAGATAATCCAGCAAAATCTAACTGCAGGTGCTACTGTGTCAGTCTAAGGTGCAATGACACGAACTATCACGAAGAACCTGTACACACAGAGCACTGATCTTTGTAGTGTGGATTAGCATTAAAACTGGAAGCATAGCTTTGGTTTTCACATGTCATTTTCAGGATCAGAGTATTCATGGAACAAATAAACAAGTCAGCAACATATATCGAGCAAGGGTCTCCATTAATCACTTAAATACCATGGATCAGAATCCCACAGAAAGAATATGGACAACACAGAAAAATCAAAATAAGCTTGTATGTATGAGGCTGGGTGAAATCCTTCTAGCCTAACTGGAAGCCAGGGCTTTTTAATCCAGGTTCCATGGATACCACAAACTTCAAAACATCTGTGCCCCCCCCACCTTATGCAAATTCTGCCTGAGAGAGTTAAGTATTCCTGCAAATTCTGCAAATTTGGGGGACAAAGCCCTAATCCTACAGGGAAGTCTTCATTAGAGCTGTGCACAAAAGGCAGTACAAAACCCTAGCTGCTTATGTTCACAGCCTGCTTCAAGGTAGCCTCATTATATTCAAAACAGGAAGGAAGTGACTCAAGTCTCTGCAGATTTTGGCATTCAAGACAACTAATGGGTAGAAGAGACAATGTTCTGAAATGCATAAAATGCTGCAAAAGGACAAGACCATACTTAGGGTTGCAATGGGAAGCAATTTGCCTTGGCCACGTGTAATCTGTCAGAAGAATATGCATTCCAAGAGGAAGTTTAAGTCAGATACACATGAATCAGATGCATCACAGAGTTCAACTGAAAATAGGAAAGAAAAGAAGGAAGCGGAACACATTTAGCGACAAGGACAGTTTGTATAAGCCTGGCTTTTAAAGCACCACCTTTTAAACTCCCCATCCCTCTCCTTTTCTTCAATCTGAACGGTTAACACAAGCTGTAGTACCCAGGGCCATGAAATAACCACAAAGCAGTTATCACAGTACCTTTAAAATCAGTCTCTGCTTCTAAACAAGCCGAGAACAGTAGGAAGCCACTGGTGCTCAATGATTTCATTACCATTGTTTATTGACCATTGCAGGGCCAGGAAAGTCATCTGACATTTACATGACTTCAAACGCAAAGCTATTCAAGTCCAAGGACCAAAAGCAGCACATAAAGAAACTCGTACAGAGACTTCTCAATTGAGTTCCAATGATTAAGACACCGAATCTTCACACCCAAGCATCAGCCCTAAGAACGGTTTTGGCCCTTCCACGCCCCACGTTCGCTCTGCCAGCGACTGCGTGTTTGGGAGGCTGTGGGCAAAGGACCACTCTAGAGAGCCACGTTTGAAAGCTTAGAGAACTACAAGGGTTCTGAACTGAATGACATAACAAAAAAAGAGAAGGAAACTTAAGAGGGTGGCTAGGAGCATCCCTGGACTCTCCCGACCAAGGAGCCAGGTACTCTGGGTCTTCACCGGAAAAACGGAGACAATCGGAATTTGGGCAAGTGAAGTCACCAGTCCAAGGTCACGCAGGGGCAAAACCTAGCAGGAACTTGGGCCCCGCGGACCCTCAAGCTGGAGGCGCGCACCGGCTCCCCGCCTGCGGGTGTCTGACCCCGACCCGGAGGCTCTCGGCGTAGGGTGGCTACCTGAGCCGCCAGGCTCTCAGGCCGAGCCTGCGGTCCCTGAGCGGGGTGACACCTGCAGGCTGAGGGCCGCCGCCCGCCGTCGGGGGACTTGGCCTTCCCGTCTGGGAGCGGCCAGCAGCCGGCGGTCCGACGGCCACGCGGCTGACAGGCCCGGCACGGGGCTCGCGCCCGGGCCCCGCGGTCCGCAGCCCGAGGGGACGACCCGGCAGGGGCCCCGCCAGCAGGACGAAGCTAGCGGGCCGGCGCCACTCACCCGGCCCGCTGCAGTCGGCGCACAGGTCGCTGCTCCGGAGCCGCTTCGACATGGCTCCCGCCTTCACCTGCCGGGAAGCCCGCGACGGCCTACAGGGCAGCGGCGCTTCCGCTAGAACGCGTCCGAGACGGCGTAGGCGGAGGGGCCTCTCCCCTCACAGCCTCACAGCCGCGGCACAGGGCGCAAGCGCGGGGAGGTGTCCCGCGGCGCCTGGCGTGGGTCACGCGACCGGAAAGGGCAAGCTTCCTCATCGCCATCTTAACTGAGGGCAGATGTCTGCCCAAGCATCCTCTGTCTACCTCAACATCGTCTTGTAATCCCTTTTGGGGAAGCGATTTCTTATTCCGGTACTGATTAATACCAGAGGAATAAGCAAAATCTGGTGACCAGAACTCTGTACTCATAAATGTCACTGGTTAAGTTCATTTATTAATTCCGCTCGCTATTCAACAAATATTGGTTGAGCACCTGATGTGTTCCAAATACTGTTTCTGGCACTGGAGAAACAACAGTAAAGAAGACAATATTTCCGGGTCTTAAGGAGCTTATATTCTACCGAGAGAAGATTCAGAGTAAAATAAACAGTTTGGTAGAGGATTCCTTCTTCAGGCCGCTGCTTTAATTTCATCTTCAAAATGGAGACATGGGTTGTTTATCCCTAGTCAAGATTGGTATTTGTATAACCTGCAACCTTAGAATAATTTTTACTTTTTTAAAAAAATAAGAAAAAGATGAAGGAGGGGGAAGAAAGAAATATGTGTAATAAACTTGGTTGTGACAAGCAAAACTAAATATTTATTCTCTGGCTGAGGGAAAATGGAGTAGCTTATGGGAAAATGAGGTATTTTTGCTTCCTGGTAAGCTTTCAAGGAAAAGAAGCTCCTATTATCGTTGCTATTGCTATTCTATTATAATTATTGCTTTTCTTCGTATATCTGGTACTTGAGACTAAAACTAGCTAAACTAGGTGGCTCAGTGGTTAAGGACACTGTTCTTGCAGAAGACCCAGGTTCGAATCCCAGCACCCACATGGCAGCTGTCCGTAACTCCAGTTCCAGGGGATCCGACAGCCTCTTCTGTCTTCCGCAGGCATTGCACGACATAGGTGCACTTACCTACGTGTAGGCAATACACGCATACACATAAAATAAAAGTAATAAATAAAATATTTAAAAAATAGCTAAACTAGAGTAATTTTCAGGATGTTTGAAATAAATCATATTATGTAGTGCAAAGAAAAGATGTGGCCCTATACTAATAAATATTGATTGGTTTTTGTTTTGTTTTGTTTTGTTTGAGACAGGGTCTCCCCTGTAGCCCCAGCTAGCCTGGAACTCACAGAGATCCACCTACCTCTGCCTCCCCAGTGCTGGGATTAAAGATGTGTGCCCCCAGGCCTGGCCTACAAATATTTATCGTATGCGTTACATGTAAACACAAATATGTTGTCCATTCAACAGTTACTGGGTGCCTATTGTGGGCCAAATACTGTTGTGGCTTTAGGTACTTTGATAAGCAAAATAGATATGGTTCCTACCACTGTGGAGTTTCAGACTAATGTGATAAGAGAGATGTTAAGGGCTGGAGAGATGGCTCAGTGGTTAAGACCACTTGCTGTTCTTCCAGAGGATCTGAGTTTGATTCCAACACCCATATCAGGTGGTTGACAACCACCTGGAACTATAGCTCTAAGGGATCCAATACCCTCTTTTGGCCCCCGTGTACACCCATACACACATGACATACACTCTCAGACATCCAAGTAAAAATACAATCTAAAAATTTTTTAGAGAAATGTTCAGTAGACATGGCATATTGAAGAGGCTTTTGAAAAATGAGAAGTCCTAGCAGAGGTCTCAGAAGCACTGCTGTTGTTCCCTCTCTTCAGTGTGATAAATGTATGTGGGAATAGGCACATAGTTGCCACACGTTCCTCCAGTAGAGCTTTTGGGTGCAGTCTTGATGCATGTGCCTCATGTATTAGTTTCATTCGTCAACTCACAAATCTGCCAGTCCACATCCCTGGAAAATGGACTAGTTCAGGATTCTTGAACAGCCGTGGCAGATTATTTGAAAATCGGGGTGTGTACATAAGGTCAAGAGAATGTATGCGGGATACATCAGACAGTTGTAGACGCCTGGGCGGAAGCAGCACACGCTTCTTCATTGATCAAGAAGATATAGTGCCTGTGGTTGCAACCCAAAGGACGAATTTTTGCTTTTGCAGATTTTTGACAAATTTGGATACTGTATTTGCCCTTTCGGTAGTAAAATCCTTAATCTGAATGGTTAGTTTAATAATGGGATTGCTGTGGAATAAACCTCCACTGTAGGTACTTTGAATCTTAGGCAAGTTGGGGATTCAGGTAGAATAGTGGTTCTCAACTGAGGCGGATTTTTCTCCCGCAGGGGACACCTGGCAGTATTTGGAGACCTCTGAGGGAGGTGTGTTACAGACACCGAGCGCTAGCGAGGCCAGGCGCGCCGCTCACCATCCTACAAAGCATCGGATAAACTTCACACAAAGAATTACCCGTTTCAAAACGTTCCAAAGTTGCGACACCCTGAGACAGAAGTACACCCTTATCAAGCAGGTTTCTGACGCCACCTCTCCACTGTTTAGTTCTTCCTTGAAAACTATCTCCCGTTGCCCACTTCCAAAATGGCTCCAGACCAATCGGGGAAGGATCTGCCCTGGTCCCTAAAGGATGCCGGGGAGGCTCGAACCAGAATGGTTTGGTCCAGGCCCCTGAGGTCACCCCCGGGCTGCAGAGCCATGGAAGGGGCCCAGTTGTGGAGCAAACCACTGGAGGCGGCAGGCAGGGGGGCCAGGCTGGGGACGCGCAGAACGGGATCCTCACGAGCAGGTCGCGGGCCGCGGCGGACACCCTCGGCTCCGCATGGCCGGGATGGCCGCCTCCGGGTTGCGGCTGGAGTCGCCGCGGGACAGAGTGGCGCGGAGTTCGGGGCTGTCGCCGGCAGCTTTCCCCGCGGCCCCGCGCGGTGGTCCGGCCTGCGCGCTTCCCGGTTGGGGCGGTTCGGCCCTCCGGAGTCGGTTCGCGAGCTGTCAGCGCCAGCGCCAGCGCTGCGGGGCGCGGGGTGGGCGCGGCCGAGCGGGTTCCGGAGCCGGTCCCCAGCCCGGCCCGCGACCCCAGGCTCTGCAGCTGCCCGCTCGGGCCTCCTGGGCCCCACACTTCCCGCCGCGCCCCTCGCTTTCGGCCCTCCCTCGCTCGCCAGCGGGTCGGTCGGGCACCCGAGACCCCGCGGGGCCGAGGCTGGTGACCCGCGGGCGACCAGGCCCCGGGCCGCGGCCACCTCGCCATGTCCTCGGGCCGTGACGCCAGCAGCCAGTTCCCACTGCACCTTCTGGTCTGGAACAACGACTACCGGCAGCTGGAGAAGGAGCTGCGGGACCAGGTGAGGTGGGGCGGAGAGTCGGGGTCGGTTCCCTCCTCGGGCCCATTTCCAGGCCTCGGTCCCCGGAGCCCGGCACAACCTTCAGTTTTGCGGTTCTGTGTCAGTGGTCATAGGTCACGCACGAGCGCTTACTGTGTACCGGGCCCTGTGCGGTGGGCTATTTGTACAGCATCCCTCCTAACCTTTCCAGTGACGCTAGGAGGTAGGTGCTGATATTCCACTTGACAGGGAAGGAAATGGAGACTCCCAGAGCCTGATGGCCTTGAGCGAGGCCAAGTCGGGGGTTTTTATCACAGGCAGCCTAGCCCTAGAAGGCACCATTAAAAGCTTTACAGCTTCAAGACGGAAGAGCAACACACACCCCCTTGCTCCACCCACCCTTGTGGTGAGAAAGGGCTTGGTCGCTTTGGAGGCCAGGTTTTAACTCCCTGTGACCTTGGCCAAAGTATTTCAATTCTGGGGTCCTCGTTGACTTACCCATAGGATGAAGATGTTGGTAGTGATGTGGGAAAACTCAGTACTTGTCTAAATTGATGGGGCTGGGTTCGGGCCTAGAAATCAGTATTTAACAAGATCCCCAGAGTGATGGTTTGTGCTGATGCATAAAGTTTAATACTGGTTCTCAGGCTCCTTAAGATCCCTCCCGATTCTAAAGTGCTTTGATCTTTTTTTTTAATATAAATATATATAAACTATATTGCCATCTCTAAAGCAGCAGTTCCATACTGCCCCTAGAGAACACTTGACAGTGGCGAGGAGACATTTTTGGGTTGTTGTGATCTGAGAGGTGGGTGCTGTTGGCATCAGGTTAGGTGGAGGCCTGGGAGGGACAGTGCTGTGCATCCTACAGTGTTCAAGGCAGCCATCCACCCACAACAGAGAATCTGACTCCAAATGTCAAATGTTAGTTGAGAATCCTTTCCTCTTATTATTAGTTAGCTTGTTTATTTTTGAGACAGGGTCTTATACTATAGCTCAGGCTGACCTGGAACTCACTAGTATAGCCCAGGCTGACCTCCAGTATGCCTATCTTAGCCTCCTGAGTTGCTAAGCTACCACCAGGGCCCAGAAGCCTTGCTCTAAAGGCATTGCAACAATTTTAATAGGTATTGGTGCCCTCAAGTTACATACTAACAAAGTTAGCAAATAATATAAGGATTTATTACCCCCGAAATCTAGTGTAATTTTTACTGTTGGCTTCATTCCTTTTATCTGTGTGTTTAAAGACCTGCTTTTGAATGACTTAAAATTGACCCTATAATTGTTAAGAACTTTTAGAAGAAAGGAAACATTGATTCTTTTGGTTGGTAAAAATTGGGCAAGCTTAACATCATGGCATTTGAACAGTCACTGCTAAGTGTATGTATTTTAAGCTGTATGGGATGGGCATCCACTGGAAGTCAAAAGTCACTGTTCTCATTAAAAAAAGAATTCCATACCAGGTGAATACTTGGTATTCAAGACTAGCCTGGGCAATTTGGTGAGATTCTGTCTGAAATAACTAAGAAGGCGGGTGGTGTATACAGCTCAGTGGTCCAGTACTTGTCTGTTATGGGAGGCCCTGAGTTTCATCCTGGCTAAGGTGGAGGCTGGGAATCCAGGCAGAATAAGCTTTATAAAAGTCATGGTGGCACACACCTGTTGTCCCAGAACTTGGGAAGCAGAAGCAGGAGGATCTCTGTGAGTTCGAGGCCAGCCTGGTCTACATAGTGAGTTCCGGGCCAGCTGGGGCTACAGGGAAACATGTTTCAAAAAGACCAAAAAAAAAAAAGTTATTGTCTTAATTAGATGACACAGCAACTATATGAGTTTAGGAGATATGACATATGCCCCCAGACAGAATGATTCACTACTAGGCATTCCAGTATACCTGATGATTTAATTCCTTTTCTATTAGTAGACAAGACTCAGAGGCAATCCATGAGTCTCACCCTGGACATTGAAAAAGTAATCAGTTCTGCCTGAGCATGGTGGCCCACACCAGCAAGCCCAGCAAATTGGGAGACTGAGGCAGGAAAATTACAAGTTCAAAGCCAATCTGGGCAATTTAGACTTTGTCTCAAAATAAATAAATAAATGGAGTTGGGGATGTAACTCAGTGATAGAGCATTTACCTGGCATCCTCAAAGCTCTGGGTTCAATCCTTAGTCTGGGAAGAAGGAAAAGTGTAGTTTTAAGGTACTTGTCAGCGTCATAACTGCTCAGATTGTGTAGGGTTGAAAGTACATAAAAAGTGACACAATTAAAATCCTATTTGGTAAAAAGGTTCATTATCATTAAACCACACACTTCAGTCTGTAATTCTGAAAACAGCAGGGTTTTTTTTACTCATCGGAGGTGAAGAGTGTGTTTGCAAAGACAAGAACAAAGTCCTGGTTTATAATCCATACTGTGACATAGCTATTTTTTCCTGCAAGCTTTGATAAAAGTGTCCATCAAAAGTTCTCTCTTCTACTTTAACAAACTTAAGGATATTTATAATTAAAATATGTTATGAGACAGGTCTCTTCATGTAGCTCTGGCTACCTGAAACTTGTCTGTGTATCCCAGTCTGGCCTTCAACTCAGCCGTCTTCCTGCCTTAGCCTCCCCTGTGCTAGGACTACTGGCACAGTAGTGCATGGGAATTAAAACCTTGCAGTAGACGTTGTGGGAGAAAACTTCAGGTCTTTAGTCCCCTTTATTATCAAGTCCGAGAAAGAATGTTCTGGCTTGCTGGTTCTTTGCATTTGACTTTGCTCTCAGGGTGGGTCATTTAACATGGACCTCTTGGCTGTCATATCCATACACTCCAACTTCAGTCTTTGAAGGGGCCCAGGCAGCGTAGTAGTACAGGACCCTATGCATGTTGAATGCTCAGCCATTACCACTGTGAAATTCTTCATTGTTTGGAGTAATGAGCATCTTGCATTTTTATTTGCAGTAGTCCCTACAAATTATGTAACTGGTTTAGGGTCAAGATAATCAACATCAATAGAATATCATTAAAGTACATGGCAGGAAATATTTATTGCCTCATGTTTATCTAGATTCCCTGTTGATTATGAGATAGCCGCCTTTGTCTGTGACCTGGAGACAGTGGGTTTAATGGCCAGCACTAATGCTAAGTTGCTAAGTTGTGTGTTTGGGCATATGACTTAGCCTGCGAAGATGAGGAGAGGGACATGTAAAACTTGCTCTTGCCAAGTGCTGTGCTGAAGTGACAGTTTTTGAAACAATGTTTCACTCTGTGGCTCAGGCCACCTGGAACTTAACTAAGTAGCTCAAACTGGCCTTGAAATCCTTCAACCTCCTGTGTGCTAGAGTCAAAGATGTGAGTCAGTGTGCCCAGCTAGCGTGAAGTATTTTTTGTGCAATCTTTTAAAAAGAGTATTTTTAACTTGAAAAAAAATTTTACTATTTTTATTTTATGTGTATAAGTGTATTGCTTGCGTGTAGGTAGCTATACCCGTGCTGTGCAGTGCCCGAGGAAGAGGGTGTTATAAACAGGTGTTAACCACCATAGGGGTGCTGGGAATCAAACCCAGGCCCTTTGCAAGGGTAGCCAGTGCTCTTAACTGCTGAGCCATCTCTCCAGCCCTTAAAGTTTTAAAATAAATTTATTTGATTTAAAATTGTATGTGTATGTGTGAATGTGTGTACATGAGTATAGGCTTGTAAAGACCCACAGAGACCAGAAGAGGGCTTTGGTTCCTTTGGAACTGGAGTTAAAGGCAATTGTGAACCACCCAAGGTAGATGCTAGGAATCAAACCTATGTCTCCTACAAAAGCAGTGTGTGTTCTGAACTACTGAGCTATCTCTCTACCTCCTAATTTTTAAATTATATTTCGTGTGCATGTGTGTGTGCATGCATGTACGTACACTCACCGCTGGGTGCAGGTGGAGGCCAAAGGTTGCTACTGAGATGTCTTCCGTAATTGTTTCTCTACCTTAAATTTTGAGACAGGGTCTCTTACTAAGCCTGGAGCTCACCCTTCCTGGTAGACTGGCTGGCCAATGTCAATTCTGTCTCTGCCCAGCCCCACTGTGGGGTTCCAGGTGTGTGCCACACCTGGCTTGTATGTGGGTGCTGCAGGTCTGAGCTCAGGCTCTGATACTCACACAGCAAGCACTGTACTTGCTAAGCCATCTCCCCAGACCTTGCTTCGTGTTTCTTTTTGAGACAAGGTCTCATCATGAAGTTCCTGCTGCCCTCAGTGATCTTCCTACTCCAGCCTCCCAAGTGCTGGAATTACAAGGATGCACTACCATCCCTGGCTAGGAATTAAAATCTTAGAACCGACTGACCTAGGCTGGCCTTAAACTTGTTATTCTCCTGCCTCAGCCTCCCCAGTGCTGGGGTGTGCTTGGTTCCAAATCCTATATTCTTAACTGCTTGTCTATTTCAGTATTCTAGAGAATAATGGAGGCACTCTATCTGCAGATGCAGGCAGATGGTTAGTGGAACAATGCCACTCAGCAGAAACTGCTGCTGTTCTTAGTACAGTCACTGACTCCAAACCTGGGAATTGAGCTGTTTTTATGTAGGTTCCAATTTATCTGCAGGGGGCATGAGTTGGCTGCAAAATTGAAAACAAAGATTCCTATCGCTTCAACAATCAAACTGCTGTGAGCCACACTGTTGCCATTGCATTTCTACTTTCTGCTCCTTCATGCCTCCCGTCACATGAAGGAGGCCTGAAGCCCTCTGCTCCTTCATTCCCGTCACACAAGGGAGACCTGTAACTGCACATGAGTAGCTGTAAGAATTTTATTCTGTTCCAGAACTTATTGCAGCACAGAAAGAATTGAGTTTATCCAGACCAAGAAGCTATGCCTCAGCCCAGTGTTTCTGCTAGCCAGCATTTGTGTGATTTGGCCAACTGGGAGATTATTTCAAGACTTCTGTGTTCACCCAGAAGAGTCACTTAAAGTGCCTCTTAACCCATCGACTCCTTAGTGTTCAGTGGGGCCTGGAGATTGAAAGTGTTTGTGTTCTGGTTGCATTTGACTAGAGATC